CAAGCCCACGCGGGAGCCACAGGGATGCAGAGCCTCTCCTTCCCCCCTGCCCCCAGCAGCTTGCGGGGGCAAGCAGCAGGTCGTCCCCATCACCATGACAGGATGCGGCAGTGTCCCCAGCCCGGACACCCCCCAGGCAGTGCTCTGCTCCGTCGCAGCCTCTGCCAGCCGGGTTGTGTCAGTGTAATTATCGCTCAGAACTCCCTGACAGAGGAGGATGCCCAGGAGGGGATGGTGCTCTTTGCCAGAAATGCTGCTTCGAAGCCTGCAGACTCGTGGAGCATTGCACCCATCACTGCGAGCTCCCCTGCTAATGCGCCGCCCCCGTGGGTCTCCCCGCTGCTCAGTGTCCCCAGGCCCACCCAGGCTCGGGGGTCCTGGGGAGGGCAGTGGGGGCTGGGGTCTGTGAGAGAGTGGTTGAGCCAGAGACCAACGGCAGAGAAAAGGGAAGGTGCTCTGGGGCCTTCATGGTTAGTCCCACCCAACAGGCATGGCCTCATCTCACCATCTTCAGCCTCCAGCCCATCCCAGGAGGTGCATCAGAGCAGCTGCTGCAAATATTGGGAGAGAGTATTGTAAATGTGGTCCTTAAGGGCCAGGCGCTGGCTGGGGACATGAGAAGAGCCTTGGAAGGAATCAGAGATGATCCAGATCCCAAGAATACTACTGCTTTAATTCACAGGGGGAGAATCCAATTAAAAATATAAATCCTCTTGCTTTGGGCTCAGGGTAAAACACTGACTGCTGGGCAGAACCCTCCCCCAGGACAGAGCACTGGAGCCTCTCCGGCGGGGGGGGGCTCAGCCCCCGGCTCTGCCAGGCTGACGGAGACAGGGCTGTGGGCTGGCCAGGTGCACTCCTGAGCTGGGGACAAGGCTCTTCTTCCGGCAAGCGGCAGAAAACACGACATGGAAAGCTGAGATGAGAAATGCAGCCTTGTCACTAGGCAACAAGAGGAACCGGTGACGAAGGCTGGACGGCAGCCACAAATACTCTTCTGGCCACTATTCCTTGAGTATTGTCTCAGGAGCAGTGCTAATCCTGCGATAACCGTGGAGGAGGGCTGGCGGGAGGGACAGCCACCAAGCCCGGGGGCTGCAGTCTGGCTGTCGCACCTCTCCAGGGAGCCCCCGCTCCGCACCCGGGGGACAGCCCAAGAGCTGCCAGTGCCCAAGCCCAAACTGAGTCCAAGAGATGGGGAGCAGCGCTCCAGCCCCTTGTCTGCTGCGGGATGGGGAGACGCTGCGTGTGCTGGGACAGGGACCGATGAGCTCCAGAGCCCTCGGCGTGGGCAGGGACCCACCTCTGCTGGGGGGGGCTGTGCGGGACAACCAGCCTGCAGAAGGGAGAATGCAGAACACAAACGCAGGCTGCACAGAGACCGCCCAGCGCGACCTCATCTCCCTGCCCCCCCCAGGTGCTCCCCAGGGCGCGTGGGCACAGGGAGAGCCATGGCAAGCGCGGCAGCCTTGAGGCGAGGGAGCGGATGCCAGGCTCCACGAGGATGCACGTCGGAGCTCTGCTGGGAGCGAACAGGATTTGGGAAGGGGCAACGTGCTTGAGATCACAGAGAGCAACGAGAGGCACTCCCACTGTATATGGGGGCAAGGGACGTGCTGGGGCAGACCCGCCTGGGGACCCCCAGCCTGTTGGCAGCGTCTGCAGCCATGCGGTGCCTGTGCCCACTGCCAGTGCCAAACCCCGCTCTCTTTGGGGGCTGCTTTTCCAGCATCCCATAGGAATTGCAACAGCAGAGTCCCAGCCCGGTAGGCACCGGGGCAGAGAAGCCGTCGGTGGTCTGCTGGGAAGGTGAGTGAGTGGTGGCAGGCGCTGGGTTCATCCGAGTCTCAAAGGGAAATGACTCCGCCGTGGTGCTCCCGCTTGTCCGCGGAGCTGCCATTCCATCTACCCACGGCGAGCGCAGCACCAGGAGGGTGCAGCCACCAGCAGCCTTAGGAGCCTTTCCCAGTTAGCCAGGACATATCTCCAGTTCTAAAAACGGGAAAAAAGCAGCAGCAGTGAGATGTTTCCCAGCGTGTGCAAGCAAATGTGCTCAGCGTGCCTGGGCACTGGTCTGGGTACTGGTCTGGTCACCCGTCACCGGTCCCCATCCCAGCACCCGTGCTGCTCTGTGCAGAGGCACAGCCAGCCCAGGCAGGAGGGCAGCACCCCTTCCTCCACCCTCACTCTCATACCAATAAAACTGTCCAAAATCTCACGTGCAGACCCTCAATTCCATGTAATCCCCCAGCATGGCTCCCCCCACCCCCAGCCCCATCACCCAGCACAGCGGCATCGCCCCACGCAGAGGGAGCTGCAAAAGAATTTCACAGCCGTAACCAGTGTCCCCTCACACGAACTGGGGACAAGGCCCAAGCTGGGGGCTGGGCTGTCCCTCCTGCCAGCCCTTCATGCCCAGCACACCCGGGACCCCAAACCGAACATACTTGCCATGACGGACAAACAGCCTAAAAGGTGCGAAAGCAGCAGGAGACAGAGAGAGAAAAGACATTCAGGTTTTGGTGGTCCGGCTTCCTCCAGGCTCGCCAAGCCCCATCATGGGGGCCAGCAGCTCCCCCCACCGCCAGGCTGCCCATGAGATGCCACCTCCCTCCCAGCCACAAACCGGGGGGCCAGCAACCATTTCCCGATGTACTGGAAACAATGGGCACAACCCTGCCCTAGTCATTGGTGCCTGGGTGGACCTGGACATGCGCCCTGTCCCAGGGGTGCCTGGGGGTGTCTGAGCTGGCCTGGGGCTGCCCGGGGGCTGGGAGTGCTTGTCTCCCCGAGCTTTTAAAAAAGTCTGCTTTTATTCCAGATGTGGAAATACGCCAGGGACAGGGACCCACATTCGTCCCTCAGCTCTGATTCCTGCTCTAATGGCTCCCTGCACGCAGGGGGTACACTCTTGCTTGTGCAAAGTCTTGAAAACAAAGTGAAGGGAGAAAAATGCACTTTGCCTATGAGCTACATCCCAAGGAACTGGAAGCTGAGACACCAAGGGCCGGTGTCCCAGCACCGCGAGCTCTCCAGCTTTGCTCTGGCAGAAGGCTGTGCACAAGCAGCACACCCAGCCCCTCTGTGTCCCCTCGAGTGACTGGGTGCCCAGCCAGCAGCAGGCAGTGCCGTCTCGGTGACGTGCCAGCGCCCGGAGGCAGCGAGCACCACGTTCCCATTGGGTCTGTGCAAGGATTCGGATGCTGGTGTTTAAGACAAAGACCCGGTGTGTGGGATGCCAGACCTGGAGGCAGCACTTGGGGGGATGGAGTGAGCAGGGCAGGAAGAGAGATGCAAGAAGCGTATGAAGTGGGGAGCAGTGGGAAAGAGCTGCCCAGTGCCCACCGGGGTCCTGCCTCGGGCTGCTCAGCCCTGCCCTGCACCCCACGGCTGTGCTCGGCCCCTGCCCTGGCACTGCTGGTTCCCACAGTGCGTCTACTTACTCCACATCGCGCTTTCGGATGGCCCTGCCAGCAGCCAGGACCTCAGCCACCTTGGACACGATAGGGTCGTAGTTCATGCTGGCCACAGCCACCACCTCGTCGCTCCTAGGGCCGGGCAGAGCAGAGCAGTTAGGGCAGCCCCGGGCAGCCACTACTCCATCGCCCGAAAAGCAACGTGCTGGAGAGAAGCAGGAAGCAAAGAGAAACAGCCGCTGCTGCAGGGCCAGGACCCGTCCCAAGGCGTGAGCACCACAGGGACTGTGCTAGCGGTGTGGGACAAGGGACAGGAGAGTGCTCGGAGCTGGCACTGCAGGCTGGCCCCATGGTGGTCTCACTGGTGCTCACATGCGGGTGTGGTGAGCATCACTAGGGTGCCCAGAGGACAGAGACAGCTCTGGGGCTGTCATATTTGAGGGCTGCTGCTGTGATTTAGAAGAACTCTGCTTTCTGAGCCTGCATCTTCTCTGCTGCAATGCTTGATGTCCCACCTGATGTAAACGAGGTCCTCCACTCTCCCCAGCACAAGAACCCATTCCCTAGGGATGTAACTCCAATTATATGTGCAGGGACTCACAAGTTTTCTTTACAGAAGACAGCCAGTCTCCTTCCAAGACGCTTGCAGCAGTACCTGATGACGCTGCAGTGCAGATTCCACCTTCTCCTGTTGACCCATGTTCAGAAACACAAACTGCCAAGGAGAACCCTGTCCCACCATGAACCACAGCCTGAGGAGACCCTACAGGTGGTTGTTTCCATCACACAGGGCCTCGACCTTGGCTACTCCACCATTGCTTGACGCCTCCGGTGCTCAGCACACCATGGGGCTGAGGCTTCAGGACTCCTGGGAGGCTCTGCACCACCTTCACCCCACACCACATGGTCTTGAAGCTTCAATGGTTTCCTTTACATTTGGTTTCTTGAGCACAGACAGCTCCCAGCTGGGAAGCAGAAACTGGCTGGAGAGACCTACCCATCAAAACCAGGGGCAGATGTGCTGCTCCAAGGGCATGAGGAACCAAGCCGTGCAAGGGAAAGGAACGGAAGACGTAATCCCACCAGCCACCCACTGGCTCAGCCTCAAGCCCAGCCAGTGCCTGACTTGACCAGCCGGGAAGGCGAATGCAGCCCAGACACTTCTGTCAGCAAGACATGGGGTAGCTGGTCCTTTTGTGAAACAACTCACAGGGCGCTGGTGAGATGGAGCATCCCACATCAGCAGGGGCTTTTAAACATTTGTTTGTCAGATGAGGAAGCCAGGAAGAATCCCTCTTTTCCAAAAGGTCTTTAGAGGCAACAAGAGTGCCCTTCCTGAACCTGAGATCTGGAGCAATCAGAAGTCCTGGCATAAAGGCTGAGGGAAGATGGAGCACTGTGGATGAGCACCACGTCTACACGGTCTTCCCCTCCTCTGCAGGGTTCAACGTAACGGAAGTGGGGAACCATGAAGAAGACGACTACAGCAATTCCCTGGACCTCCCAAGATCGCCAAGATCTTAGGGGTGGGATGACATAGGTCTGTTCTGGCTGAGGTGCTACGGTGAACAGTGTCCCACGGGGACATCTGCAGAGCACTGTCCCGTACACCTCCAGGCACAGGGCCTCACACTGATCCCTCCACAGCTCACACAGCTCTAAATGAAGATAAGTAAACAGCTTTCTTCTTCAGACTCCGGGGAAAAAAGAGCCTTATCGTGAAAGTTGGTGCTGAGGACAGGCTCTGGGAGTGGAAACCACCAGCAGTTCATGCAACAACCAAGAGAGCACGCACCAGAAGTGTCCACACCATCGGCTGGGCACGGCAGAAAGAAGCAGGAGGGGACAGTCGATTTGGGACAGTGTCCTCAGTCCAAAAGCATTAGCACCAACCAGAACAACAACCACCAAACAAGAAAAAGAGGAAGAAGTGCTCCCGGTGACCTCTCACAGAAGCAGAGACAGGGACTTGATTACAGCTGAGCAAAGCAGCGGGAGATGCACTGGCTGACCCCTGGCCAGCCTCCGCTCCCCCAGTACCTCCGGCTCTCAGCGCAGGATGCCCTCCTGGTGCCCAAAAGCCATCTGCGGGAGCCCCTCCTGGGTGGCAGAACAACGCAGCGCTCAGCAGCGATCCCCGCCGCCGGGGAGCTGCTGCCCACCGAGCCTGGCTTTTTGCTCGGGGCTTTTCTTTTGAACAGGCTCTACAGATGTTTAATTAAAGCAACCTGACATTTCCTTTCTAATTAGTGTTGGGATAAATAGCTAAATGCTCTTGGTATGGAAAAGAGGTTTCAAAGAAGATCATTTGCTGGGAAGAAATGTGTGCTGGTGTGGCTGGGGGGGGGGCAGGCCCCTGAATGTGCCGTTCACTGCATGCAGGGGACTGCCAGCAAGGCCAGGGGACCCGAGACGGGGCAACACCACGGCTGCGGAGCGGCTTCGCGGGGGACGCAGCAGCAAAAGTACCTACAATTCTGCAAACCACTGCAGCAAAACTGCCAAAAATGGGGTTTTATCTTCCCCCATCTCGCACTCGCTGAGCAAACTGTGTATTTTAAAATGCTGCTCTGGCAGTTATGTGATTTAAATGCACTTCCGAACATGGAGAGGGTGGGGAGTGCCAGCCCCGCGGCTGTGGCTGAAGAAGGGGAATGTCCCGGTGCAGCAGCTCTCCCCAGCACAGGTGGTGCCTTGGCACAAACCCACCCTTTTAGGCAATTTTGGCCAAGGTGCCAGCAAGCTTAGAGGTGCATCCACATGTAAAGGGCCCCTGTGTGCCGGAGGATGCTGGAGCCCCATTGCCTGCAGCAGGTTTTTTATCTGAGGTGCACAGGCACCAGGAGAAGCAGAGGGCAGGGGACAGAGGGGCAGCGAGCCCTGGTGAGGTGATCTCTGCAGAAAAGTAGCTGGCTCCTGCCCAGAGCTCCCTCCTGATCCCTGACTGAATGCTGCTGCCGAGTAGTTTGATTGCTGAGTCGGGCAGACCTTCGCTTCCCTGGTTTCACTCTCCTCATCCTTAATATTAGAAATCACCTGAAGAAAGTCTCCGCGCGTGAGGAGGCTCTGTGGCCATTGATTTCAGATTGGGACGGGACAAAGGCAACAAAAGAATAAACAGCAGCAAGTATTCTGGGGATAAATTCATGGTGCACGGTCTTGCCAGTCTAAACTGCTCAAGAACAGCAGAGGCAACACATCCCAGCTGTCAACACATCTCGGGAAAGTTTTCCCAGAGAGGCTCCCAGCCTGGGGCAGAGCTGGGTTTCACTACAGGTGTAACAAAAGCTTCCGAACTCTTGCTAACCTTCACAGCTTGTTAATAGACAGAAGAGTTTTTTGAGCTTAATTTGTCAAACCAGAAGCAGAAACAGTGATGCCTGAGCTCCCAGCCCATCCCTGGTCACAAATCACTAATCAGTGATGAGACGGGAAGCAAATCTTTGATGGGAATTACCGGCAACAAATTAATAGAAGCCATTATCTGCTCTCAGATACGATGTGAATAAATGTAAGTGCCAACATCTGGCAGACGTTCGGTCCGAAAAGCAGTTTAACTTGCTCTATTCATAGCACGTTGTTTCTTTGGGACCTTTTATTAGTGTCCTGCAACCTTAGCGTCCAGAGAGCAATGAAACCGAATGAAAAGTTCCAGCAAAAATATTTTCCATCCTAGAAGAACAAGCTGAGATGAATGCCTGTGTAGGAAGGTGGAGAAAAGAAACACTTACTTGGTATAAAATGCCACAAACTTCAGTTCGTCTAAATCTCCCTGAATGACAACATCATCGAATCCTTCCCCGTGGCCTGGAAGGCAGAGAAGAAGAAGTGGATTCAGCAACAATTCCCCTGGATCCAGCTCCAGCCCCTAAGACAGAGTGTTTTAATCCAGAGCTACACGAAGAGCATGCTGCAGTCACCAAGAGAGCAGCACCAGAAGACGAGGGTACCAAAACGCACCCGTTCTCGTTCAGAGAAGTGCAAGTTCAGGGATACTGTCTCTGCTCATGCTGGGCCATCCCTCGTGACCACAGCCATCCCTCTGGCCCTGCACACCATGGCCGTGAGCAGACAGGTTTCAGAGGACACACCAAGACCCTCAGGAGCCAGGAAGGGAAGCAGACCCGAGGCAGAGGCTCGCCCGGAGAGTCCACAGCAGGGGAGGCGGCTGTGACTTCTCTACCCCAGAACACCTCCACCAGCACAAACTCTGCAGCAGCCTTGGGGAGCCCCTTACCCGCGTATCGGATGCTCTTCCCGAACATAGCCGTCCACAAACACGGGACTGTGCTGATCTCCATGCCATGGGCCAGCATGTTCAGCGCAGCTATACGGCCTGCAAGAGAGAAGCAGCAGAATAAGCCAGGAAGCTCCGCGCCGGGGCAAGCATTGTGGCCTGCCCTCAGGTCGCAGCACAGCATTGACATCTCTAGTCCCAGACTATAGGAAAACCAAGACCTTCTGCTTAGGCTAACAAACAAACAAACACACAGCAGCAAACACCAACAAGGAAACGCCTCGCCTCGTCCGAGGTGGGGCTCGGAATCCTCCCTGCAGTGCGGCTCCTACAGACTCGTCTCCTCTGCTGGCATGAGCAACGTGCTCGTCAGCCTGTTCCAACCCAACCCCTGCGGCAGTGACAGAGCTGAGAGCTTGCAGAGCTCCCACCACAAGCAAGGATGGGATGGATAAACCTCCGGAGGGCACGGAGACTGCTAGGGCACAGTCCCTGCCACAGAGGCATGTCTGGACCAGCACCAAAGGCGTCTGTGTCCAAAGGCTAACGCTGGAGGTGTGGTTCCAAAGCCTCTCAGCCAGGGCACCCACCCAGAGGCCAACTGCCCCACGGGGCCGTGGCCTTGGAAAGCTTGAGGGCAGCCGATCACGCCAGGGTTTCCAGCCTTGCTGGCGTGAAGGGAAGGAAGGTCTCAGCTCTGCAGCATGCTCCCGGGCCAGCCCAGCAGCGTGGGCAGCCCAGCTGGGGATGTGAGCCCGAGCTAACATTAGGATGTGAACTCCTAAGTGTCCTGGGGCAAGAAGATTTGGCTCCTGCAGCGACTGCAGGTGCCAGGGAGCACACAGTATATGGGAAAGCCTGTCCCTGGGCACCTCTGTGTTTGTAACAAGGCATCGTTAGGCAACGCACGCCAAGAAGGCTGACAAACGAAGGTATATTGGGCAGGATAAAACATACCTGCTTCAAAATGTTTAATACAAGTACCCAGTTTGTGCCTTGGCAGTTGTCTCATTCTCTTGCTAGAGAGCTTGGGAATTTCCTGGGGATCTGGAAAAGGCCCTTTGCATAAGCAATTTGCTGTTGCAAAGCAAAGGGCCTGAAAAGCACCTACCGTGCATATGGGCCATCTGCCAGTGAGGGACGTTCACCTTCTTATTATTCCTCAAGGCCAGCGGGAACGTGACAGCGTCACCGGCTGCAAAGACTCCGGGGATGTTGGTTTGCATCATCTGCAGGGAAGAAGCAAAGTGTGCATTGGTGGGGTTTGCACCCTACGCAAACAGAAACAGGGAACTGCTCTAGAGCTGCCACGGTCCCCAGGAACACAGGGACAGGCCTCTGCTCGGCTGTGGGACCCCCAGGTGGGACTTGAGGTAGCGTTCCTCAGTTTCAAAGCAGACCTCACGGGCAGGGACCCACAGCATCCCTCTGCCAGTGGGTTACTTGTTAAAAAGCTGCACAGACCGGCGTCCCGGAGCCCCTCTTAGAAGACTGGGGTCTGTCGGTGTTTGCAAACAGAGCCTGGCTTATTGCACATATGAGTAATAAGCGCAGGGGTGGGTGGCAATGAGCTCCTGCACCCCCAACATGCTCCTCGCTCACGGCATACACTGCTCATCAGCACCAACACCGCTCCCACTGGAGTCACTGGTGGTGGGGAGGAAAGATGAGATCCTTTGGGATCCCTGGAAAAGTGGATCTTTCACCACATCTTTCCCTCCAAAATATCCGCACCATTCCAGGACAGTTCAGAGCCGGACCAAAGCCACAGCATCCAGGGCTGGGGTTTGCAATCCCCTCATTTACAGGGGGGGGTCCCAGGCACTCCAGCTGGCTGCTCCCAGCACCTCAGCAGATGAAACGCCCCTGTACAGCAGTTCGGAGCACCAGGGAAGCTAATCTCGGAGGAGAGCAGACTCGGCTACTCCTGCTCTGCCCCCTGGCAGGGGCTGCCCCCCGGGCTCACCTTGTTGACCACCCCACGGGAAAGGCAGCGGGCTGCTCCGGGAGCGGGCAGCGGAGCCAGGCACCCTACAGACCCCCCACTGCACCACGCCCCGCACCCGCAGGGTCCCTACCGCCCTCCAGCCATCAGTGCGCCCCTGTAATCCGCCCACCACCTTTTTTCTAGTGCTTGAAGATAATTTTCAATCCACTTCTCTTTTATTGGCATTTTGTAAAAAGTATATTTAAAAGGGAGCCCTCGGGTTTGCAGACAGGGCTCCTCTGCCTCCCCCAAAGTCTGCACCTTTTCTTCAGCTTTCATTTTCCTTTTTCAATCTTTTTTTTCACTAGCCTTCACAAATTGGAGTAGTCAATAAAACAACAAAAGCAGAATTCAACTAATTCTGTGATTCTTCCAGTCTGCAATATTTTGAAAAGCTACAGAGTGAGAAAGGATCTTTTTTTCCCCCAAGTGTAAAGGAGAAAAATACCCTCTTCTACAGCAGTGGCAGCAATAAAAAAACAACAGAGGAAAAATAAGTTCTGTTTGGGAAGGCTTTAGAAAAAACAACTTGAGAGGATGAAATTGGTTTGAATGGGTTCTTCTTCTGGAAAAAAACTAAACCCGCGGGTGGCAGCCGAGTGGGGCTGGCACATCACCGCCTGCACCCCAGCGACCTGGCCCCAGGGGCCCATCGCTGCCCTGTCCCCCCCAGCTTCTCCTCCGCCGGGCAAAGCACTGCCAGCCCGCCAGTCTCTGCACCCGCAGCAACCGCCCCTTACCAACACCGACGACACAGACGTCGGCACGCAGGACCTTCCCGCTCTTCAGCACAACCTCCTTCAGCTGCGTGAGACACAGGGGGACATCACGGTTATTTTAGGGACAAACCCCCGTCCCCCGCAGCAGCAGCAAGCCAAGCAGGCAGCTCCCTTCACTTTTGACATGCAAGTTGACCACAATTACTTAGAACGGCAGCAGCAGGAGGGTGGGCACAAGGAAACTACCCTGCATACTGCGCTGGAGCACCTTTGCTCCTGGGGGTTAAATCCAGGAACATGAATTTCAGGGGCTAGGAAAGAGCGGAGGGCAAAACCCCAGCGGCAAAGGGAACGGCGGGGCCTGGGGGTTTTTTTCGGGGGAGCCCCTGCCCCCACCCTCCCTTGCCCTCCTGCTCCCGCAGCTCCGACACCTCGGTCTGCATGTAGAACTTCACCCTGTTGCTCTCGAACATCTGGAGGAGGGACACGGGACAGAGCAGGGGACATCAGGACCCCAAACCACCCCCTCCCCTGGTGTCCCTGTGCCCCCTGCACTGCCCTGCCCACCCCGGGCTCGCCTCGACCTATGCTGCAAAGGGGATTGGCACCACCCCGGTCCCCAACACGTGTCCAGAAGAAGGTGCTCTACCGCATGTGGGCCACGAGAGGGAAGACGCAGCCCGTTCTTTCTTTCTACTGACGTCTACCATCACAGCTTAATCAATAAACATTAAACAACAAGTTAATTAGTGCAGTAAGTGAAACAAGCAGAGCCCATTCTGTCACCAAACCCTCCCCTTGGATGGGAAAGTGAGGTCACCTTCATGACAGCGCGGCCAACCCTCTCCCCAAAGAACTTCTTGAAGGGGACCTCCTCCAGCTCCACCACGGACACCGAGTGGGCCCTCTCCGCAAGGTAGGCAGCCACCTCCATCCCTGGGGAACAGAAGCATGGCCAAGCAGCCGTGGGACCTCTGGTGCCGCCCTGCCTCCCCAGTACTGCCCGCTCCTCGCTGGGGACGTTGGACCAGCTGAGCTAGGAGATCTGCGGTGCCACCAGACCTGGCGGCCACACCACTCCAGGTGAGGTTTATGATTTATGGCAATTTGATCTTAGATGCAGGTTTCCAAGACCAAAGGCAGGGAGGAACCGGCCACAATGAAGTCCCAAAGTGCCCCAGGAAGCCGCAGCACTTGGAACACTGGACCTCAGATGAGGGAAACATTCCTCTTACGGCTGGGACTGTCTCAGCAGAGTTAATAAGCCGCAGGCTGAAAACAGCCCTAGTGACTAGCTGTTTTCTCCGACCACAACGGGACAATTTTGGTGCTGGCAATTGCATGGGAACCTTCACCAAGACATTTTCTATCTATGGGGTTTTTTTTGGAAATGGATCTTTTTGATGACCTGCAGTTTGCAATTGGCCCCCCACATCACGTGCTTTTCTGTGGCTGGGATGTATTGAACCATTAAAACAGGATTTTTTTTTTTAAATGAAGAAAAATAAAAATATGTGACATTTTATAATAAATTCCCTGACTAATACCCATTTATGCTTAAGGCTTGCAGGACCCACAATAATTTTGTTAGAACCGTATCAAGCAAAAAGAAGAACCATCAAGGAAACTATAAGATTTTTCCTGTGTATTTTAAAAATTTACCACCCTGCTGAAAAGTAAAAGAGAAATAAACTCAAAGGCTTTCACCTACCAACAAGAAGCCTCTTCAGTAAAATCAATTTATTCAGCAAGGAGATGTCCTTACCATCCACCTGGAGCTGGAGGTTGGACTACTAGAGGTCCAGGTAGGGGGGGGGTATGGGGGGAACTGTACCTCTAAGCGGGCAGTGACAAACTGGGCGAGGGGCTGGGACTGTCTGCAGGAAGGCGCGGGCAGCAGAGATGCGGACACCCGCAGAGCGAGCGCTCACCCAGGAAGGATGCTCCCACGATAACCACGTTCTTGCTTGTGGCCAGCTTCACGACACGGTTGGCATCTTCGGGTGTCCGGATGTTGAAAACATTTTCCACCTCCTTGCCTTTGCAGCTGAGAGCTTTGGGCCTGAAAAGCACACATTGAGAGCGATACAGGGGCTTTTCTTGACCCCGTGGTGGCCATGGGGACTGCAGACCCCCCCCCCTTCCGGGGCTCCAGCAGCATCTCAGCCTTTCCTTTTGTCACCTTTCTCTGGGCTGGAGACATAACATGGAAAAACCCAGATGCTGGTGGACAATGGCCAGAGCAGGACTGCGAATTCCGGCACAGGAGGGGCTGCTCGGTTGCCCTCCCCAGCCCCATTAGCGGACCGGTGGCCCCACGGGGCTGGGCTGAGCTCCCTTCTGGGGCAGTGCAGCACAGCGAGGATGGGTACTGCTTCACAAGCTTGTGCTTAACTGATGGCGTGTTGTAAAATTTTCAGAAGCTCACTGCAACACAGAAAACTCCCTCTGTCCTCCACCAGACACTTTGGAGCCAGGTATTGAACATTTCATCAGCCTCCGCAGAGGCAGATTCCCCTATTCCCCCATTCGTTCCTAGGGGCACGCTGCTGATGCTGTAGCCCTTTAACCACGTCCTCCCCGTGCACTTACTGGAGCCTAGATATTTTTAAATATCTGGCTCCTGCATACCCGACTCACATCTGGAAATGGGACAGATGATCCTAAATAATTTAGGTACCTTAAAAACATTTGCCCAGGGTACCTGGAGCTTGTGCATAAGGACTTTGAAATTATTGCCAAAGGCTTAATCCTCTTTTGAACCTCATTAGGTGGACGGTGCAGACAGCATTTTGGCTGCAGCGCTGCACACCCCAGCACCAGCCTTCAGCACTCGGGGCTCTGGGGCTGTTGTTGTTATTGGTGGCACACAGGGTTGCAATGCGAGTCCCTGCTCCAGCTGCTCTACAGCATCCCTTCCCTGGATGATAAATTTTGCAGGGGCTGCATTCCTCCTGCTTCATTTTGTGCCTTGGTGTGAGGAGCACAAGGAGATGGCGCCAGGAAGCCTCATTTCCATCTTAAAGTGCCAATTTTGATAAATCCCTACTGAACACAAACTGACCCACTGCTTCCAGGGCACTAGCGACGACGCTGGTCCCAGGCGATGCTCTGCGCCCCGGCAGCAGCTGTGCGGAGCAGGACCCGCACATCGCTACTGCCCTTCCCTATGGCTGGACCAGGTTTCAGTCTTGAAAACTTCCCTCCTCGGGGCAAGCCTCACAAAGGTTCTGTTAGGCTGGGGCAACAGCAACACCTCATTAAGGCTGCAGCAGAGAAGCATTAAGCTTTCATTGTTGAGAAAGACCTTAAAGAAAGATGGAAATTCAGATGGAAGAATCATCCGATTGTCAAGGTTGAGTATTATTGAGGGTGAAAAGAAGAGCAACGTGGCAAAAATGACCTCTAAAAAAACTTTCAGGATACTTCCATTTTGAAGGCTTTTGAAAGAAAATATGTTCAAGGTCCTGGCACTCATTTTAATATTCTAAGATGATGAACTCAGTGGGAATTTCCTGAGTCTCTCCCACATGCTCTCAAGCCAGCTCCCAGGGAACAGCACAGTGTTAGGGTGCTGCTGACAAATTCCTCCAACTCTTCAAATCTCGGTTTTCTATCAGTTTCTTTAACACCAAACAACACACGCACCCAGACTGCTTCAGTGGGTACGTTTTCTTAACACCCTTTTGACCTTGGCGCTGACCGTGAAACACCCCAGGCAGTAAATCCCGCAGCCGTCCCGCCAGCCCCCATGTCTGGTTACCGGCTTTCCGGGCGACTCTTGGGTGACACAGAGGCTTTTCAGCTTTGGCTGAGCAGACATACCCAGCACAGCTTTACAGAGATGGAGACATAGACACAGATCTATAGATACAGATATAGACAGAAATATCCAACAGGTGTTCCGTGCCTTTTCTGCAAACACCCTTGCAAACAAATTCAGTGTCCAAACACAACCACCACATTTGACCCCTTATCCCCAGGCACAAGCTCCTCATTCTCAGATAAATAATTTCTCCTGATCTTTAAAATGTTTGTTCGTAGCTTACGTGCTTCCAGTCGCTATCAGTAGCTTGTTGTATTCCATCTTAAACCCATCCTTGAACACGGCTATCTTGTTCTTGATATCCACAGCCGCAACCTGAAATCATTCCTAAATAATGTTAAGGGATGAAATCCCAGACATTCACTGAGCTCCCAGCCCAACCAACTTGTCTGTCAGGTTTTAGTCCCGTGTTCCTGTCCATAGCTTAGACAGATCACACCTTATACATTCCTAGTTGCCTTTTCACAAATCCTTGAATATCTCCCAGTATAAATAAAATAATTGGGAGAAATGTTTAAACCATCACCACCTGCACTGCTTGCAGGCTGATTATCCTAATCAGAGGCCCACTGGTCACCCCAGATCCACGTGAGGATGCTCGCAAATGGCAGGTAAGAAATGACGGTCACCACGGAGCTGGCACAGGGGGTCCTTCCTGCCGCAGGAGGAATTGCATTCAGTGGCTTCGAACAACCACAGGCAACCTGCGCTCTGGGGCATAAAACAGGGGTGCTGGGAGAGACCCAACGTTTCTGCAGCTGCATACAATGGGCCAAGAACAGAGACAGCTGCCACATTTCCTGAACTTGGCCTTTGCATACCAGCACTTGCAGAAGACAGCCTGCAAGTACACACAGAACTCTCCTTACCTGCATTTCAGTCAGGACTTCGATGTCGTAGGTGCGGAAGAACTCCTTGGGGCGTAGGGCGATCTGCTCCGGGTGGGAATCCATCGACTGCAAAGAAAGCCATTTTTCTGTCAACTGCTGTGGGTTGAACAGGTGAGTGGAGAAATGCCTGTTACCAACACAAGTCAGTGGTAGTCTGAAGTCAGTCCTTATGGCATGGGTTAAAAGAGTTGCTCTACGGGGGGCTGGAATCAAAGCCTGTTCAAGTAAAAGTCGCCACAAGTCACTAGACTGGGCTCTGGTTCCTTCTCTGCCTGCTCGGTGCAGGAGTGGCATCGACTGGCTAAGGCAGGACCACAGCAAGTGCTTCTGAGTGCCTAAAGCAGCTCTGACTGCAGCCCCTCATAACACTCGAGTTCACAGGAGCAAAAGAAAAGCCACATTATTTGGAAACAACCAGCTGCCAGGGGAAATGGAAGTTAAAAGAGCAATAAGAACAATCAGCATTAACACAGCAAGGGCAACACTTTCAAAAGCACCCAAGTTATGTAGCACAAGTTCCCTCAAAAGCAGAAGCAGGGGCATGTGGCCCATATCTGCTCATCTTTAGCTGCAAGATAAAGGTTCTCGCTCTTCCCAGCCTTCCCTGGTCACGTGGGTAAGATCCACATCATCTTTACATGCAGGGTTGAGCTCACATTTAAGCCCAAGTTCATCCGTTCTCCTAACCCTGTGGGCACAAGCTTGTAAGCTGAGGACAAGCCGAGCACCAAGCGACCCGTGTGCAGGCTGCCCCATGCTCCAATGCATCCCTGCCTGCCTGGAGCACAGCAGGGACAAGCATGGCCACACACATGCCGTGGTCAAGCCCTGCAAGATATCACACAGCGCTGAGCAGCAGTATCATCTACCCGTGCCACACAGGCAGGATGCTAGGGCTTGACCCAAGAGAGACAGGGGATGCAGGAATCAAGGGCTTCACCATCTGCCCGTGGGCGCAGATGTGCAAGGTCCTTCTCCCTGGAGGTGGCTCGGTCAGGGGCTGGGATGAACCCTGCAGGACACTCCCTTACCGTGACTTCAGATAACGCTGTGCTCAGAAGAGACCCAGCTCTCAGGGCTTCAGGCAGGTGCAGGGTCATGCAGGTTTTACTGCAAATTCTTTGAACACTCAATGTTTACAGAGAGGAATGTCTGACTCGGGAGCGGCAGCCGCAACGGCAGCGTGCAGGGAGGGCAGTGCAGAGCAGTGCATGACCACCATGGGTTTTGCTGCTGCTCAGTGCTTCAGAGACAGTAATGGGGATGTTGCAGCACACCAGGGAGCAGGTCATGGTCCAAAGGGGACAAAGAGGAACAGTCCGGTGGGACGTCGGGACAGACTGATAACAGGCGTTCAGCAAGGTGAGTAAAGGCCATGCTACAGTTTCAGGAGGCAAGAAGTCTGCTGCTTACAGCTTTATGTGCTCCTCCTCTGACGAATCTTCCCAGGGTTAGTCCCACTCAAAACAGGATAAAGAAAAATCCCCTTTATCTCTACTCTGTTGCCGAAAATTCTGCCTTCTCTTCCATGGGCTTTGTGCACCTTCCAAAGGCAACTACAGCAGAGGTGCTTAGTGAAGAGTTTAACAAACCATGCATAACATCTCTGGCATGTGAGATGTTCTCACTATTTCATGGAGAGTGGAAAAGGCAGTCTAAGACTCGCACAGCAGGGCTAAGTGTTTGGGAGAGCTGCCTGGCTGGGGCAGAGACTGTGAGCTTCTCCGAGCTCCCCAGCACAACCTCTGTGACTCTTGGACGCAGGTTTCAGACAGCTGCTCCTCACCCCAAGCAGGTCTTGTCCAAGCACAGAAATGCCTTGAATGCTCTCAAAAAGCCACGTGTGTATTTGCCTTCCTCTGAAAATCATTTTGCCTTGGTTGTAGAGTACCTTTGATTGTAGAGTACCCGTGCCCATAGATAACAGCCCTGACATAAAGGGGAATACACAAACTGCCCGTTCCTATGTTATCTCCAAGCTTCAAGATCAAAAACTGCTGTCCAACCTGAGCTGCTGTCTGATATCAAGTAAGACTCAGGAATCAGTAATAAAAAATGTGATTCATCCTGTGTCTACAAATTGTAACGCAAAATGGGATGTGTGCCAGAAAAAGTGATCTTTGCACTGCAATCAAGCTACCGAGTTGTGATGATGGCTGATAATCATAATAATTATGGCATGGAACATCACTGGGCGGTAAGAATCATGCACTAATAAAAAAACTGGTTGACGATATAATTTTTTCACGTGCCCCATTTCATTGCTGGAAAGAGTTTGATCCGGAAACAAAGGAAGAAGATCCATGCAGGTACAAGCTGGCCAAGACAGCTATTGCTAGACCTATGAAGAATGCCTTTGCTTCTATGCTGGAGTACTCTTAGTTCAGAGTTTGAACAGCTCCTCTTTAGCGTTTCATATTTCAATCACCAGCAGAAAAGGAAACTGAAGGAAAACAGAGACAAGACGAATAAGGAAGAAGAAACATGCTGCTGGAACGAATAACAGTGGGGAGAGGTCCTAGGCCAAACCTTAGAACTGGGGAGGGATGTGGCATACCCAAAGTGATACAAACCTTACTGAGCTTTGGTCTGTCGTAGGGCAAGTGCCTGTCCATCGTGCACATCACAATCCTGTCCGAGAAACCCTCCTGGCGCAAGGTCTCTGCACAGACCAGTCCAGCTGCTCCTAAGGGAGAAGGAAGACTGGTGGGCGCCGTGTGTATGGGGCGTTTGAAGGTCTGAACCCTTTGCTCCTAAACCCCACCGGGGCTGTCTCCAAAATCACCATCTCCACTAGCCCTGCCCTTGCTTCACGGCCCTTCCCAAGTCAAACAGCTTGCACGGGAAGCCAGTCAGGGTGGATGCACCAGACAGGTGGAGGGACCTTCTGTCTGTGGAGCGTGACATTAATCCTTTGCAGGACTTGTCTGTCCCTAAAATCACACAAATCTACAAAAAGCACACCCCAGGAGTGCTTCCAATGCCAACACACCTCTCACAAGCTCAGGGGCATCGGTGGCTGCTCAGACCCTTGCAGTCGAGGAAGGGTCTTGCAGCTCCCCCTCTGCGCACTCAGCTCCCAGTGAATTTGCAGCTGAACACGGCGGGCAGGGAGTCCTCCCTTCTTAATGGCTGAAGCACTGGTTGCTTGCTTCACTGTAGAGGATTTTGCACACAATTCTTCTGAGGTTTTTTCGTGTGCTTGTTTTTAAACACACAAAGAAAGGCTAAATCAAACAAAAAGCTGCCTTCGGGCATGCTGTCTCCCTGCATCCAGGCAGTCTGATGGGCATGTCCCATCTTCCCTGGAAAAACTGGTGAGACTTGAGAGCTCAAGTGAGAAGCCCTGAGTCTCTCCTCAAGCCAGGCAGCCTCATACAATGATGAGTGTTGTAACGGCCACAGCTGCTGTAATACTAATGAAAGAAGATGGACCTGGACAGCATTATGGTTTGGTCCATCAACAAAGTGCTCCTGTTAAAGGAGGCAGGGGACAGCGGCAAAGAGACAGGCGGGTGGACATCCCGTGCAGGCTGCTTGGAGCATGCTGAGCCAGGACGGATGCTGCACTGATGCCAGGATGACCCTCACATGAGCAACACGCCGTGGTTGCATGCCCTCAGCTGTGCTGGGCACGACTGTATCTTGCTCCTTGATGTAGGGCTGGATGGTTAGTCTCTTCCCAACACTTCTTCCTCACAATCCCAGCTTTGAAATCTCGTTTCCTATCCACCAGAACAGACCTTGGTCTTTAATAGACCTGTAAATGTAGCAGGTCAAGCCTAAGAAAGTTCCTTCAGCAATGGCTAACATTGCCTATGGAGTGACCTTGCTGAGGATTTTGATGACTGTCAGCCCTGCCGCACACCAGGACAACACAGCTGACCTCGGGGAGCAGCAGTGTCACACCTTGGCTTTCGGTCAACAAACAGCAGGGGCACAAGGAAGGGAAAAATGTTAGCCAGTAGCAAGGGAAAAGTCAGCTAGGCTGGTTTTGCCCTCTGATCAGGCTGCGAGCTGCAACTTAGATGGCAGGAGCAGATCGCAGTGTGTTCCCAGTTTCCACTGCCTGGATCTGGTGACCTGGGGGCTGTAATCAAACAAGAACAACTCATGTGCCAGGAGCAGCCCCAGGTCCAACACTGGATAGCTTGTGTCCTCTTCCCACCCTCCATTTCACCACGACATGGTCCAGCCTAGCATCCTACCCATTCCAGAAACAGGCAAACTCGGTAGATGGGATTCACTCCATCAGGCCTTCTACAAAAATTGCACTACACAAACGAAGCTGGAATAAGAGATAAGAAAAGATAGCTTGGCAGTTTTGCTGTTTCATGCAGGAATTTGGTATTTTCTGGGAAGATGGAACAATTCATTTTCAGCGAAGCACCTTGAGGTGAGAGCTTTAGAGCTGCAGGCAGCTGCAATGGGATGAGACAGAGATGTGCAGGCTCCAAGAGGAAAAGTTGTATCCACATCACAGGAACACCTGAGAGGACTTTACACTTATCAGCTGTGGAAATCAAGGGTTACTGATGTGTCTGGGGAGGGTGTAGAAGGAAGAGGGTTCAGGGGACCCACTACAAAGGACTGTGGCGGGTAACTACAAAGCTCCACAGACCAGAGGCACAGAGCACCTTTGGACCATTAGTGTGTAGAGGACAAAAAGGCTGAGGAAGACCCTCTGGTCTGACCCTTTGCACATGGGGGACGCAGGAGGGGTGACAGACACCCTGCTCTCCGCACACCCACCTGGGAGAGGACACACACGGTGGTCCCAGCACATGCCACCCAATACCTGCACCGATGATCAGCACGTTGGTACTGCTCAGGTTATAGTTGCTCAAGGAGATGCACTTCGCCATCATCTTTGTCCTCCTCTGTGTCTGAAGAGCCTATGTCACCAATAACAAGAAGAAAGGTCATTATCTTTTCTCAGTTTTAACCTGGGTAGCCAGGCAGGGATGGGGACAGCTACACTTGTCATAAAACAGCTTGGATAGAAAGGGACCAACTGCACCCTTGTAACCAATGAGGAGTCTAAACCCTTGCTCATCCAAATTCCTTTCCACCATCTGGTGCGCTACCCACTTACAAGGTACAAAAGAAAAATAAATCCATCGTCTTCTACAAATTCATCCAGGTACACTGAGCTGGGGAAAAAAAAAAAAAAAAAATCGAAAAAGCAGGCCAGGTGTCTCACTGTGCAATTCTGCAACCAACAGGTGAGACTGAAGTACAGAAGTCCTATCACAAACTTTATCCAGCACCTGAGCAGAGCTTGTATACCTCTGATATCCAAACAAGCTGATGGACTTGTCCAACCTTCCAGAGCACACCCGAGGACCTATGCCACTGTAGCCCTGCTGCACAGAACCCCTGTCGCCAGCCATCAGAGGCAAAAATCGATTTCTGGTAGAGGGAACAGGCTCAGTACACCTCATCACATCCCACCTAAATAAGCTCGAGTAGAAGTGCTGCCATTCAGGTGAAGTCTCTGGATCTAACCCAAGTGCTGTAAGGGTCATCTAGTTCTGAGTCGCTGGATTCACATCAGTGTACATGCAAATGTGCATCAGAAGCAGGCTTTTCATGGAAAGCAAGATGGCAGTGCCCTCAATGGGCTTCATTCTGCATCCTGTCTGGGGTAATGATAGCTCTCCCTGCCCACGCAGCAGGTTCCTCTCCAGCATAAGCAGCTGATGTCTGGGCTCAAGATGGAGCATAGATGACCTCTGTCATCACCAAGCCACACAGAGTCCCAGCAGATGAGGCCAAAAGGCTGGTGTAAGAGGCCTGTCTTCATGGGCCAGCTAAATTAAAAGTCGTTATGAGCTTAAGGAAACATAGGACAAGTTCAGGACAAACACCTAGCAAGACCTCCTGAATCCATGGACACCCCAGCTGAGGTGTCTGGCAGCTACAGGGAGGCTGGAGGAGCACAGGCAGGACGGGATGGGGACACAACACCACTGCCCTGCTCCGCTCATGCCTCTGGACGAGCTTCGGGCTGTTGCTTCAGACAAGACCAAGCTAGGTGGACCTTTGGTTCACCCACACTGGATGCTCACGCATCCTTCTGTTCAGGCACTGCTTCCCCTTCCAGACAGCCCAAAGAAAAGCATTTGCCCCTGACCTCCACACACGCAGAGCAAAAATCAAAAGCGTAGGTCTTGATTTTGGGATCCCAGTGGCCCCTCACCTGCTTGCTTGCTCGGATGTACACCTTCTCCTTCTCGATCTTCACCTGAGGGTGACAGAACAGCAGCAGTAAGTGCCTCCGGTGTGAAGAGGGAGATCACCCTCTCTGTGCCACAGCTAACGAACAGAGCAGTGATCTCACCAGGCCTCCTGTGAGAGCGGCTCAGGCCACGGCAGGGCTCGCCCCAGCTGGACGCTGTGCGATGCTTCCTGTCTCGCATCAGCTACGCACTGATGGTCAGTGTAAAACGTGATTTATATGTCAGGCTGTGGGCTGGTTTGTCAGTCCCAACCCACTCCTGCTCAAGAGACCTCCCAGCGCCTGCACCTCTACCCCCAGGTTCCCAGGAGGTGACTGATGCCCTTAGGTGGATGCAGCGGGAGCTGCAGGGAGGAAGGAGAGCTGGGTGAGGTGCTGCTCTCCGCTGGCCACCCCAGCAGGTGCTTGGAAAATGTTTGCTCCACACCTTCAAAGAGCATGCTTACCCATCCTGTGGATGGCACCAAGCTGAGTGGTCGACATGCTGAAGGGACGGGATGCCATTCAGAGGGACCTCGAGGAGCTGGAGAAGTGGGCCCCTATGAACCTCAAAAAGTTCTACAAGGCCAAGTGCAAGGTCCTGCACCTGGGTCGGAGCAACCCCCAGTATCAATACAGGCTGTGAAGGGAGCGAGCACCCCTGCCAAGAAAGACTTGGGAGTACTGGTGGATGAAAAGCTGGCCATGACCCGGCAGTGTGTGCTGGCAGCCTGGCAGGCCAACCGTGCCCTGGGCTGCATGGCCAGCAGCGTGGGCACAGGGCGAGAGGGGATTCTGCCCCGCTCTGCTGAGACCCCCCGGGAGCCCTGAGAAGGCTCCGGGGTGACCTTAGAGCAGCTGCCAGTGCCCGAAGGGGCCGACAGGAAGGATGGAGAGGGGCTTTTCCCAAGGGTGTGTAGTGATTGGACAAGGGGGAAAGGCTCTAAACTAACAGAGGGCAGATTTAGATTAGATATTAGGAAGAAATTCTTCCCCATGAGGGTGGTGAGGCCCTGGCCCAGGTTGCCCAGAGAAGCTGTGGCTGCCCCCTCCCTGGCAGCGTTCAAGGCCAGGTTGGACGGAGCTCTGAGCAACCTGGGCTGGTGAAAGATGTCCCTGCCCACAGCAGGGGGATTGGACTGGTGATCGGCAAAGGTCTCTTCCAACCCAAACCATGCTGTAATTTTGTGGTTTCCCCTGCTGCTGCAAGAATGAAGGTCTCACCTGGAACCTGGGTAAGCTGTCCAAGCCAGGAAAATCCTCTATGTCACCTGTGCCGATGTTAAAGCAAGCTCCGTGCCACGGACAGCGGACTCGTCCTTTGGACAAAACCCCTGCAGGAAACATGGCAAAGCAGAGTTGGGCCCTGCCTGCAGCCCACTGAGATCAAGCTGCTGTGACCTGGCCCAGGCAGGGATGGCAGAAGCCAGGTCTCCCTCCTGCCGTCCTGGTGATGGTTGACTCCTCAGCTTCTTCACAACGTGAATGCCTCTGCTGAGCAAGGCTGACCTCCTGAAGGCTGAAGATTGCTGCCCAGGGCCTTCTGCAGTGGCAGGAGTTGTTGCTGCTCCATGCAGAGCAGCTCCAAAGTTCAGACTCTGTGAGCATGTCCCTGTGACACTCCTTCTCTATCCAGAGGTGTCAGCTCTCCTACAGGACACGTGGCAGCTGTTGTGGACATGGATGGTCAACAGCATCTTGGCTCCTTGATGTGCAGTTCTCTTAACTCGCATGTGAGACTGCTCCAGCCGTTTGGGATAGAAGGTGAACACAGTTATCAACTGGGATGCTGTATGAGGGATCCCAACTAAAATGCCCTCGTTGACAATGCCCTTCCAGCGCCTCTGAGTCTACCTCCAAAGCTGTCTGCTCTGCCTGGAATACAATCCTGCTCTCCAGCAGGGCCTGGGGCTGCAGTTTGCAGGGTCTCACAGTCACCTCCACAAGCCCCAGCAGCACCCGGAGCAAGCAGTGCCTCAAGCAGAGCATCACTTATTTAGAGCAAGCATGTTTCAGAACAGATCCTGCCACAGCAAGGAGTCTGCGTATCGCTAGGAAAGCACGGGACATGCCCAAAGCCATGAGTTCACTCCTCACAAGCATTTGCTCAGAGGACTTTGGCTTCCCCTGCCTGAAAGAGCTGGCTCACAACAGCAAGGCAGAGCAAATGGCTGCAGTTTGGCCTTGCCGGACTGGTCCTGAGCTTGTGCCTTTGCTTGCCGAGGCACAGCAGTGCCACATCTTGTCACGCACCATGCACGGGGACGCAGGGGCAGCCCTCGCCCCTACTTCTGCATCAAATCCTGTGTTCCCCAGCAAGATCCCTGTGTGAGCAGCCAGCCTCACGGATGCACCTGCAGGTCAGGAAGGCAGGCGGGCTCTCGCCTCCGCTGGCCACCGGAGCAGAATGGGGGTCTTCAGCCCGGCTCAGTGGGCTGCCAGCCCCAGGCGAGGGGCTGAGAGCGTGGCTGCCTGCTCCCAGCACTGCTGCTGGGCCAGCGATGCCCTGAGAGCACTCAGCATGATGCTCCACTGTCTTCCTCAGGATCCCACCTGCAGCAAAGGGCCCTACATCCCCAGTTTGGGTGACGTACTTCTCCAGCACACAGCCGGGCCAGCACTGCCTGCTGCCATTACTCAGACTCTGGGTAGGGACCTGTCTGAAGCCCAGGCTGAGAAAATTCCAAGATCTATATTTCTAAGTGCCAAGATGGGAAACCACTGTACCTCATTCCACTTCAGTGAAAAACATCATCAACACTTCTTTTTGCTACTGAAAGGATCCCATCAGCCTGAAGAGCTTCCTCCTTCCCCCACAAACAGGATTTTGATTTACAGGAAGCTGTGGTTTTGTGGGGTTTTTTAAGACTCAGTGGCCTGAAAAATCAGAAGGTGATTTTTTTTTTTTTTTTCCCTTTAAGACATTTTTTAAACTCCTCGGCGGCTGGGAATGGTTTACCAGAACAATATGAAAAGCCCCATAAAACTGGGCTTTGTGTGGAGACAGTGAGCTGCAGCTGTTTCACACCATCCAAAAAAGGTTCAGCTCCAGCTGAAGAATGAAGCAGAAGCAGAATTTAATGATGCCCATGTTGTTTTGTTCTTCAAAGTCACCCAAAGAAGCCCCAGTCCCGTGACCAGCAGTGGCAATCTGGGGTCACCAGCAAACCACACCTGTGGTGAAGCGCTCCCAGGAGCTTTCTGCACCGCCAGCTTTCTGACCATGCTTTACGCCAGCGAGAAGAAGCCAAGATGATCCTGAGTGTGCATCAGCACTGCCCCATGCCCGGAAGCACAGCCGGATGAACATCAGGCTGTCTTTTGCCAACACTTTGATGCCCTTGGTTAGTCTCCCAGGATGTGATGCAGACTGACCTTTGACCAGCGGAGCCCCGTAGTGAGGACACTTGTGTCCCACGGCATGGAACTCGCCGCTCTCCTTGACGAGCAGAGCCTTCCCGCAGCCTAGGTCCACTTCCCGCATCCTGGGGAGGAGGAACATGGAAAACACATGGCAGAGCACCTGCCTGGCAGCGGATGCCACCCCCTTGCCCTGCACCCCAGCCTTGGTCCCACCAGGCTCCCCCCCTCCTTCAACTTCCTCACCACCTGCTCCAGGTGACTTACAGGTGTGGGTCACCCTGTCACCGAGCCAGCTTTGGAGATGGCTCTACTGCTCCCAGCCTGGGGCACATCTAAGCTGGGCCATGGAGTGGCAGGTTCTTCACCCATCACCGCGCGAAGAGATAGCCCAAAGCACCACCACAGCTGCTCGGGAAGCAGATGACGGTCTCCACCCATGCCCATGGGGTCAGAATAAAGATGTTCAGCATGTAGTCGGAGCAATAAACCAAACTGGTTATACTACAACATCACCTCTGTCCCTGGCCCCAGCGGCTCAGCAGGTTTCTTCCAAGCTTGTGTTCGCTCACTCAAAGCAAACATAGCATTTCTGAGACCTGAAAACCAGGAGAGGTGATTTTGACCCTTTGCGTACTCCAGCCTTGGGGTCTGCCTCCCTGCGCCTCAGGGGGTCGTGCTCTGGTCCTGGCCACATCCCAAGGTCGACAACATGGGTCACCTTTTCCTGATAACACCCTCTCAGGACAGCAGACACCTACGTGTGACCACTTTGCTGCCTGTCTCAGCTGTTTGTGCAGAGCAAAGCTCGTGTAGCAACCTGCCCGCCTGCTCTGGGCTGCTGGCTCCAGCTCTGCATCTCACAGGGGCTTTGCCTCCCTGGTGCTGCTGGCATTCAGCCCTGTGCTTGCATAGGAGCCAACTCAACCCTCGAGCCACTCCCCGGTGAGATTCAGCTGCTCTTTGAAAGACCACAGCTGCTTGCATGGTACCCTGGACTAAAGTGTGATTAGCAAAGCAGGAATCTTTTACACACAAAGCTTTGCAATTTTTAGGCTCTCTGGGTCACACCTCCCCAGCTGCAGTCACCTGGTCCTTGACCAGCCAAGCCAGGCTGAGGCTCCAGCCACGCCTGTCCTGGCCAAAAGCATCTCACCGCCCATCCTGCACCTTGTCTGCAAAGACAGAAAGAGCTACTGAGCATTCCCATCTGCTGAATGACTGACTAATGATGCCACCAGTGCTGGAAAGCAGCATTTCAGAAAATCCTTTCTAACTCCCTTGGCTGGACTCCAAGCTGATCCGCAGCCCTTTGGCTCCGCAGGGCTGTGCTAAGCAACAGACACCTCCGCACCAGTGAGATTCAGCTGCTCTTTGAAAGACCACAGCTGCTTGCATGGTACCCTGGACTAAAGTGTGATTAGCAAAGCAGGAATCTTTTACACACAAAGCTTTGCAATTTTTAGGCTCTCTGGGTCACACCTCCCCAGCTGCAGTCACCTGGTCCTTGACCAGCCAAGCCAGGCTGAGGCTCCAGCCACGCCTGTCCTGGCCAAAAGCATCTCACCGCCCATCCTGCACCTTGTCTGCAAAGACAGAAAGAGCTACTGAGCATTCCCATCTGCTGAATGACTGACTAATGATGCCACCAGTGCTGGAAAGCAGCATTTCAGAAAATCCTTTCTAACTCCCTTGGCTGGACTCCAAGCTGATCCGCAGCCCTTTGGCTCCGCAGGGCTGTGCTAAGCAACAGACACCTCCGCACCAGCCGCAGTGTGGGTGCAGTGTCCCCAGACAGCCGGTGCCTTTGCCCGCAGCAGCCGGCTGCCCAGATCTCCCTGGAACGGCACCAGTGCCCAGTGCACCGGGCTGGCTGTGCCCCGCTGCTCTGCTCGCTGTGGGCTGGCAAGCGTTTCCAAGCTGTGCAGACCGTATACAGAACGGGGCTGCATTTAGGCTGTTGCATTACACTGGGCAGTTGTACTGTCCACCGAAATATGAGTCTTTCAACCACTCCCGATTTCCAGCAGGCTGCTTCTCTCTGCAGAGTCTGGAGATTGGGATGCAGCAGGCTCCAGCGCTGACCCCCAGTCCTCCACGTGCCCAGATCTTTGTCAGTGGGATTTCTGCGGCTTTCCAGCCACAGGGGCAGTGCAGGCTGCCCAAGCATCGTTGAGTGAGATCGACATTGCTCTGCACTGAGCAGATGTTTCTCTCACTATGTCTCCACCAGATCTTCGTCCCAACATGTCCTGTCCTCACCTCCTTTTCTCACCACTCAGGTGCTCCCTTTCCAACCAACAGCCCTGATACACTCTTTGCAATCCACGGCCCCATGTGAGGCACAGAACCTCTTCCCAGTGCAATTATCAGCAGCTGCTTCCCTACAGTAGAGCCTTCCAGCTAACCACGGAGGAAAGTGGAGAGATGAGGAGTGAGCCCTCATTTTGCAGGGAGCTGGGCACAGAGTGCAGAGCTGCTGTTCCCTGGAAACTTCCCCTCTTCCAGCCAGAAAGCCTGTCCCCATGCAACCTGATGTTTATCTGGAAATCCTGGTTGTTCCCATGAAGTGGTCTATCTCTACAGCAAGCCTGGCACATTGCATTTGGTGCACCAAACGCACCACTGTGCCCACAGCAACTCCCATGTGCTCAAGAAAGCAACTGGCCATGTGTGACCCCTGAATGTTGTTCATGCATGGTAGGTCCCAGGGTCCTGCTCTCTGCCTCACAGCCAGGCAGATGAGACCAGGGCTCAGTCTACCAGCACCTCTGTGACACCTTCAAACCCACCCTGGACAAGTCTTCATGCAGGTGCCTGCTCCACCTGCATCAACTGTCCCACTGGAGTAACGGCAAATGCTCAGTTTCCTTGCCACCTTGGGTGAAAACCGCAGCAGAGCTCATCATGCCTGCCCCTGGGAGCCGTTTTGTCACAGTAAATTGGCAGCCCCACTCCTGAAAGATGCAGTTCTGCTTCCTCCCCGTGTAGGACACTTGGCACTTGGAGGTCCTTCCATCAGCACAAGGGGAATAGAGCGGTACAAGTCCTACTGCATTCCTCAGCTGTGCAGTACTTCAGATAAAACCTGTGGTTAAATGACAACCATAACTCCATGGGAAGATAAGATAAGATAGGATAAGTGAAAGAGTTTACAACTTACCCAAGGAACTGTGTGATCCCACAGAGTCAAAAACAAGACCTGGTGTCTTCAAGGCAGCACACAGCCACCCGCAAGGCTCCCAGCCCCACCCTCACCCCAGAGCGAGCGAGAGGATGATTTACATTGCACTGCTCCCCACTGAGCTATTTACTTGGTTGGGAATTTGTCCTGTTGTGCCACTCCACTCCCCACTTGGGAAGCACCAGCTAAAACTCAGCTCTGGCCTGCAAAGGACCTTTGCTCAGGAGCTGAGGGAGTACTGGGGGCTGTTTTCTGTCTGCAGCTCATTGACCTCCCCCAGCTGGCCTGCTTGGGAGGCTGGTTGGGTACAGCAGCGCCAGAGTTTATCCTCCAGGATCCTTCACTGGTTCTGCTGAGAGCATCTTGGTACCAGAAAGATAGAAAGGGTGGGCAGTGATGTCACTTTTCAAGATGAAAGAAAAAAAAATTCTTTTACTAAGTTAAATTATCATCTCCAGAAACTCTAAAGAACATGATAGGAGATTCAGTTTGGGCTATAAGGTCTCTCAAGTGTTACCTACAAAAATTTCAGGCACTTACTGTCCATTCTCCAGGTCCTTCACGTGGCACACGGATGCTTCCACCACATCCTTTGGGTTGTGGTAGGGATTGCTGCCAATGGGATGCTCCTCGAGATGGTAATGCCGGGCAGTCCCATTGACTTTGTAGATCAGGGGGCTGGCTTTGCCGTTGGGCGACATCTCCTCCTTGCTTCTCTCCTTCTCAGGTATCACAACTTCAATTTTTACTTCAACTACAGGAACAAACAGAAATTGTCACTAAAATTAAGCTGGAGGTTTTGCTGCCATTCCGCCTCTCCCTCCTTCCCTGGACTTCAAAAACGGCTGACAGACATCAGAACAGAAGTTTTTTGTTGGCTTTCTTGGGAATAGTAAACATTTCATATCAAACTCTGCTTGATTACCTGAGCCCATTATTCCACTTCTTTCCTTCTCCATCGGGCACCTTTGCGTGCATAAAGTGCATATTCTTGCAAGCAGGCATTAGTCATCAGCGCAAAACAGCCCCTCAGTCACAGTTCCTGTCCTGTTTAGTGGAAAACAGCTTCAGGCAGCTAAATGTGAGGCATGCCAAGGCCTCTAGGGCTCAGACAGATTTTAAAAAAACCCTTCTTTGTTTGTAGATAACATTAACTGAAAGAGAAAGCCACACTGCATGGTCTATAAAGCTGCTTCGTTAGATGGAGACCAATTAATAAGGAACTAGAAATATCTAAAATTATTTCTGCATGAGATTTTCAGGGTAGAGTAAATCTTCAGCATTAAGTGAGAAAAGCAAGGATTGTCCATTTTACTTCCGTGTTCACCATCGAACAGGTTTGACAACAAAAGCATCGCTGGCCTGGGGACCCAAGGACACACGGGAGCTACCTGTGCCAGCGCAGTACATCACCCCTGACCATCAGAGGGGACACCACAGCCAGCAGGTCCCCTCGGCCCCACTGCAACCCTGGGTGCTGGCACCGGGCAGTGATGGACCAAGGCAGCCCCCAGCACGGTGCTGTGATGGACCAAGGCAGCCCCTGGCACCGGGCAGCCAGGGCGCTGGCCCTCCATCCCCCCAGCCCTCCCAAGGCCTCAACCAGGGTGTGCTGCCGGTCCCCCCTGCGTGGGAGCACAGGGGCTCTCCTTGGCCCCCCGGGTGAAGACGCGTGGATGCTCATCCGAGCCCTGCAATGGGCAGAGCTCACCCAGCCTCGCCAAGCACCCAGTCAGCCGTGCACCCACCCACCACCCCGTGCTGTGGGAAGCAGGCTGGACACAGCAGCATCAGAGGAAGCCGGTGATGAGCTCTCACATCATAGAGTGAGAAACATCACTTTAGCTCCTAGGGACTTCATAAAACTAAAGCCATTAATATTTATAATAAACCCCAGGGGAGTTCAACAGCAAGCTGGGGGTTAAGTGCCAGAGACCGAAGCAGTGTCTCAAGCAAATGGGAGACTGCTGGGCTTTCCCCAGCTTACAAATGCCATGAACAGGAAAAGCCGTGCAGCAGATAAAAATTAAACCTCATGACCTAAACAGGTTAATGAAAGGCAAAAAGAGGGAAACTACATGCCCCAGAAGAGCAGGACGAGCCCTGCAGCAAGAGAAGGGCGTGGGGTCTTCCCAGCTTCATCTGTCGCCCCACGCCATTTATTGCAAGTCCATCGAGAGGATGGTAGAAGGTCAGGGGGGAGGTTCCTTTAGGAAGGCAGAAAAGCCGGTGGCCATCCAGGCACTGGAGGCAGGCAGCTGTTTCAGGAGTCCCGAGAGCTTCTGCTTTTTATGACAGCTCAGCAGGGCAGGGGATGGGGCAGGTTTTCGCCAAAGCACCAAATCCTCACACTCACCAGGGGCAGGATTCACTGGGGGCTCTGTCAGACAGATCCAGTAAAGCAATTTTCTGCGTACGCATGCTGAACCAACAGAAAATGTGAACTTCTGTTGTGTTATTGCAGCTGCCAGCTGCAGGAGTTACTGCAAACTAACAGACCCAGCACCATACATCAAAAAAAAAAAAATGTTGCTATGAGCAACTCTGCTCTTGGACCTCTCCAGAAGCAGCCCAGCTCCCTGCAGATACCCAGCAAAGAGGCACTTTCCATAAGCACTGCTGTCCTATGGCACTTGGAAAAGCAGACACGGATTTTCCAGGACAGAGTCAGGAAATATAACAAACACCCATTTATGCCAGTCCCTGTGAAATACTTCCAGTCAAAGCGACATGAGGATCACTTTACACGACTACGCAGTCGATCAGGCATTTATCTGGAGTGAACGCAGCTGCAGATCCCTGCGGCCAGACCCCAGAGCTGGGCAGCACGCTGCTGCTGCTAGCGCAGGACGAGACCAGGCTGGCACCGGCGAAGCTGGTGGCTCCGAGCCCTAACAGTGACATTGTTGACACCAGTGAATTCACCCTACAGGGAGCAACCCCCATCTCTCACTTGGACCGATGCCCCAGAGCTTTGTTTTCAAAACTACATTTGGGCCAGGTGAGAACCTGGAGTGCTGGCTAATCCACAGGCATATGAACCTGCAGGGATGAGGACGGAAACTTAGCTAAGAGCTCTTCACTCCTTTCTGGGTCAGAAAAACACACGCAAAAACCAGCAGGTCTCTGGTACTGGTATGTGACAGCGTTCCCAGTCATCCCTACTCAGCTCTCACCAACACTCCCGGACTAATGTCCAGAAGAAAAGAAAAATAGGTATAAACTCATTCTCCCTCCTGTTTTGGGCCCCACACTTCACCGCTTGCCTCCCACTTGCCTCTCCCCAACCCTTTGTCCACCCTTCTCCTCCTCTTCCTCCCCCCCAGCCCTGTGTGGGGTGCCTCTCTGGGTAGAGATCTGCATTCCCGAGGGATGATCCCTCCAGGAATCTGGGGCTCAGCAGCACCTGAGCTGATCCAGCAAACTGCTTCAATTGCCATCAGAGAAAACGACATTTAAATGAAATACTTATAAACCCAAGTTTAATTCTGAAATCCAGCCGGCAGTGTGGCTAGGTCCAGGGCACTCCATTCCTTTGACAGTCATTTTCTATAACTGCTAGGAGAGGTTCCTGACATTAAAGCAAACTGTTTGGAAAGTTTCAGGCACGTGCCCTACAAATCCGTGCAGTGGCAAACTCCTCGGGGACCAGCCAAAGCCACCCCTGTCACACAGCAGCACTGCCCCGGCCCCGCTGGTGGGAACACGGGTGACAGCGGTAGTTTCCAGGGCAGAGAAACTGCTGATCTCCAAGCATGTATATGTACGTGTCCGGAGATACAGATACAGGTATAGATATATCGATATTGATACAGATATAGATTTGCCTGCTCCCCTGTGCCACCAGCATCGCTGATATACATCTACATATGTGCATGTACTTGGGTTTGTGTGTTCATGTACAGTTTTAATATATATGTGGTTCTTATCTATATACACACACACACATATGAAGGACCAGGAGGCCAGGGCTGGAAGTATCATATAAGAACAGACAAAAAAGCAGGTGAAACAGTTGAGCATTAGCAAGTGCTGACACCACACATCCATACAGACCTCAGCATTGCCAGCTCTTAGTATTCAAAAATCCTGAGTCAGCTCCCCAGAATCATGGAATTGCTTACAATACGGACTCTTATCAAGACTATAAGTTTTGACCTTTTTTTTTTTTTTCCTCCCAGGTTTTCAGCCTTTTGGTCAGAGCACTGACAAGACCCCTATGAACACACCCAGGAATTGCATCCCAATCCCATTTATCAGGGGGGTTTTTTCACACTGTGGCCACAATGTTCTAGTGCTTTGCCTCATGTCATTAACACCTAGCAGTCAGTCATCAATACCTCATCACATCTCCCACAAATTTATTCCTTCTCCATCACTATTCACAGCCTTGGGGGACAAGTCAAAGCCTCTGCCTGCTTTTAGGTAGGTACCTGAAACACAAGGCTGGAAATGTTGGCATTGACCCCTGGGCAGGGTGCTGGCAGGTGGAGGATGGCTGGGCTTCAGTGCAAAGCCATGGTCATTATTTTTAAAAATTAGGGCAATTAAATGACCCAAGACTTCTTTACTCCAGAATTAGGTTCTCAGTATGGCTCAGTGCCCTTCTAGAGGCCAAATTTAAACTATGGGTATCAGGTCATTTAAAGTATCATAGTTAAAATGGTAGAAACAAGGAAAATACTAAGTTAATATGGCAGTGCAGGGGAAAAGAGAACTGGCATGAGGCAAGTGTTGGCCTGAATCTGGAGGAGTCTGGGTAAGATGAAGACGCCTGGCCATACGGGACAGAGGAGTTGGGCTGGCAGAGGAGCAGAGCTGTCTGCCTGTCTTCCACAGTCACAAAACCCCGAGATGCCTTAGGGCTTGCTGCTTAGGGGCTGCAGACACAGGGCAAATGAGCCCTGGGGGCAGGGAACAGCCTTGTGCTGGCTGTACGGTGCCGACAGCTCCGAGAGCAGAGGAAACCAGAGAAGCACCAGGGGTAAGTGATGATGGAGGGACCAGCAGGGTACAGCGGGCACAGCCAGAAAGCCTGGTCTACCCCAGCAGGGTTTATTTTCCCGCAGCCAGCACACAGTAAATCCACCGCCACAGGACATGTTTGGGGTCTCGCTCTGCCCTGCCAGTGCTGCGCTCTCCAGGCATCCCCTGGCTCACCCATGCGGCCTCTTAACAGCTAACCTCGATGGCAACTACTTTAGGTGGTCTCAAAGAGACTCCAAACGATTTCTATTACAAATGAGAGAGCTAATGATAAAAGAATCACGTCAGCTGTGCCAGGTTCTACCCCCTTCTCTGGATGCCCTGTTCAGCAAATGCCACGTTCCCAAAAACCAGGAGGTAGGACTTGCCAGCCAAGCCTGGAGGCACCCTCAGAACCAAGCTCAGAAGGACTTGCAGCCCACAGCACCCACTCGAGCAGTACACAGCATCCTTGCACAGGGGACATGTTCCCTGCTCAAAGCCAGATGCATCCCTTGTGTGAGAGCAAAGCTCACCCACACACACGCCGTGCGGTGCTGCAGCTGCTGCCCTGTCCCACCATCAGGCACTGAACCCAGCAGAAAATGCAAAGAAAAATAACCATAACTTTACAGGTCTTGCAAGCCGCTCTCCTGCACCTGGTGCAGAGACGGTGCCGCTGTAGCTCACACCGAGCAGTGGCTTCCCCCTTCCTCCTGCCCCGGCTGCCTCTCCCAGAGTGGGTGCTGACATCCCACGCAGACTGCCAGCTGGCAGCTCATTGCATATGCATCACGCACCCGGAGAAAAAATGGAGAAAAAAAACCATGCAGAGATCGAGAACTGGGCCTTCAGAAGAGGATCCAGTGTCACAGGATTGCAGCACTAGAGATAACAGAAGATTACATCACCGCTTGCACATAAGCTCTTAATTAAATGCTTAAATATCAGGAGGGGATAGGGTGCTGCAGCAGCAGCCACGCTTCGGGGCTGGCCTACGGTACAGCCAGCACAGTTATTTACTACTGTGGGACTCCACTCCTCTCTTGTACCGATGGTCTGCACAGCAAAAGGTCTTCCTGGCACACACCAACGTGTGTGCAACGCCAAGGTTATCTCGAGAAATGCTGAGGGTGCTCAGGAGGTGCCGAGGGTCTCTCTCAGATATAAGAAGATGGAGCAGATAAGTACCTCGTATACATCTTTCAGAAGAATCTAAATAAATTCTGTTGACTTCAGGCTGCATCTGAAATATTCCCTTCATGTCAAAACAGCACTGATGTAGAAAACAGCTCTGTCCTGTCCCTGCACGATTTGCTTCTCGTTCGTACAGGGGATAGGTGGATTTTTAGAAATAGTGAAGTCCACTGCTCAGCTCTGATGATGCACAGTTCCCGCAAGCAATGGGAAAGACAAATATCATTAAAAGGCCGTGAAACTTCTTTGCCAGAACAAGCAGTATCTGCAAATGCATCTATTCACCTCACTGCGTTTGCAGGTTTTATAACCTCCGAGATGAAGCACCGCAGTCAGCGGTGCGCTAACCAGGAGCTGGGGAAAGGCTTATCAAGAGCCTTTGAAGACTGCTAATCAAAACCAGAGCTGCAGAGAGACCGTTACGTTACAGGACGGCATTTTCAGTCATTTGGCCCTGCTATGCAAATACAGCTCTACACGAAAATCTGCAGTTCAGGAAATTTGCCTGCAGAGTGCTTTTATTCCTGCACCGGTCCAAGATGAGCCACAATTTCGCTGACGGTATACAAAATAAAGTGGAACTGCCAGCAGAGTTTGTCACAAGTTTAGTCAACAAAGGCATTCATTCCTGGACGCGTTTTCACTCCTTAAACATTTCAAGAAAGGATATAAACAGTGTGGGTTTTCACGAAAGAAACCTCACAGTTCACAGTGTCCAATGCCACATTACCTTGGCACTGCAATGACCTGTAAAATAATCACAGTACAGGCCAAGGGCAGAAAACCACCTTTATTTTCTCCTTGTGCCTTGCGAAGCAAAGGCAGAGGACCTCACTCACTGGATGCTCTGTGGGTCGCAGACACGACTTGTATTGCCCCTCTGACCTTTTGAGTCCTTCAACCCGAAATCCCCACTGCCTGAGGCAATGAAGACAAATTTCCAATGAAAGGTCCCCAAAAGGCATTCTTCCACCCACAAAGGCCACGTGTGTAGATGCTGACTGGTATGACAGCTCAGCGCTACTACTTGATTCCCCTTGCCCCTGGGCATGAGCAGGTAACAAGGACAGGGTCATCCTTCAGCTCCCTCTTAGGTGGCCAAAACAAGCTGCAGGGTGGGAGCTCTCCTCGAAGCAGCTTGGGCAACGCTGACTGCACCAGCCCCCCGTGCACCAGCATCAGTTCCTGGGGACCAGCAGCGGGACCACGTGGGTGCTTCTAGGTACGCCAAGCCCGGGTGACGACGCAGTGCCTGCTCATGCCCACGCTGCTGGCAGGGGCTCAGGACAAGGCTTAATGTTGACACTTCCGCCCCCCCCCCCCCCAGCCAGTCTGCCCACACAGCTTGCATCACAGCCCCTTCCTCTCCTATATACACCCACCTTTGCCAAACCATAGCGAGCAGGGAGCCCACCCAGCCCAGCCGCAGCAGAGGTGTGCAGAGAAGGGGAACATCCATGATGTCCAGGTGCCTACAGCTGCTTTCCCTGCCGGAGGCAGCATGCATGGACAAGCTTCACCAAGAAAAAAAAATCCAGTGAGTGGAGCAGCCCCAGGACCTGGCCTGGGTGGTGGGACTGAGAAAACATCAAGAAATCAAGCAGTAGGTGGTCCTGCTCCTTCCCTGGTCATTACCTTCCAGCAGAGACAAAACTAAGGGCTGGCCAGGGAGGGGCAAAGCCGCAGCAGCAAGGAAAGTGCTGGAGTCACACACGTCCGTGACACGGACACAGCTGTCCCGCAGACCTACCGTGGGGCACGAGGGGGGCAGTTCTGGCCCCAGGGACAGTAGGAAGGCAGAAGCTGGGAGGGTGGTGGGGTACAAGGAGATGGGACGGGGAAGAGCTGGCAGCGGGTGTTTGGATGGGTTTGCAGGGTGTGAGCTGAGCTCTCTGCCCGCCCGCCCACTGCTCCCTGGCACCGCTGCAGCCCCGGTACAGCTCCCTGCCTGGGAGCCAGAGCGCCGAGGAATTTGGGGGGATTAATGTGCCGGTAATCCTCTCTGTGGGAGCCAAGAATTACCATTCCCCCGGCTAGCGTCCACGGCCGCTGACCTACTTCTCCCCATGGGACGGGGCACGGCGACGGAGGACGGTCGCCGGGTTTGGGCTTGGAGAAGCATCCTCCCATGGCGTCGGCCAGGACTGGCAGCGGGGACGGGCACAGCGGGCAAGTCAGCGAGGGCACGGGCACATCCTCATATGACAAACGGCCTGCTCACGCCGTCCCGGGCTCCAGGCGTCATTCGCGACCTGCGTGGGATAGAAAAGCTCCGTGAGAAGCGGTCCTGGTAGGAGCGCGGGTGCTGCAGGGAGGGAAGGAGAGTGGGCGAGCAGCGCTGCTGCCCGCACCGACAGCTGCGGGCAGGAGCGGGGCAGCACAAGCGCAACGGGTGCACGGAGCACGGGGGCGAGTCGCACCGAGCCCCACGCACCCTCGGCGACCCAAGTGGCAAGGGGAAAACGTGACCACAGGGTCACCATGCTGGGAGCTGCAGATAAATGCGGTTATGAAGTTTATAAATGCAATCATCCTTACAAAGTTTAAAATTACAAAAACCCTCATACCATTTATGTTCAGACTTTAATAACTTTCCAAAGCCCTCCCTTTGGGAATTAAATCTCTGAGCACGTAGGTCGCAGACCAAGTACAATGATTAAACCATAAATACATTTCAGTCAGGTTTTTTTTCTGTTATTGGTAGGTGATGGAAAAAAGAAATCTACTTTACTGACTGGTCCTGCAAGTTTCCCCTTTCCAGTAATACTCATTTCTGCAGAAATCCCATTTGCTTTGGAACAATTATTTATTCAAGAAATGGTTTTCAGTATCAGGCTATTTCACACAAATCCCAAATTTTTTATACTATTAAGACAAGACTTTTTTATGTTTAAGTAGGACAGGCAAACAGTCCAGTTCACGTTATGTTTATCTCATTAGCTTTGGCTGATAGTGCTCTCAGATTTGGTACAGACTAAGGATTAGGATAAAACTTTTTGGTTATATGCCTTGACTGAAAACAGCCAAGATTCATGCAACACAACTGGCATTAAAATAGAACATTTAATTAATTTATCCATTCATACCTGTACTTCAACTGATTTATTGTGGTTCTCACAAAGCCTTCCAATCCGGGCAGGAAGTTAAAACTATTTCCAAAGGATATTTTAACACAGGCAAAGTAGATTTTTTTGCAGCTTAGAAAGTGTCTCAAGACCATTCCGATGAGAAGAAAATACACAAGTGCCAGCAGACAGATGTGAAGCACTGCAATTTCTCCCCTTTATTTAAGCACCAACTCAAAATATCCGGATGTATCCCAGATGTTTTCAGCTACATCCCTCCAAAACATGCACACTCCTTCCCATGTGCCTGCAAATTCCCCTACTGCCATGCACGGCATGACCTCCACCAAGTCCCAGGGGCGTTGCAGGAGCGCCATCAAAGCCCAAAGCTTGTTCAATAAGTAATCCATGCTATAGAGGAACGAGAGTCCAGTGCCTTGCCACCTGGTGCAAAGCGGACACATGCCATTATCAAATCAGAGGGGTACCAGTTTGGGACCGACCATTAACAGGACAAAAGCCACACAAGCTTACCTGCAGACTACGAAGAGTGATCAGATGCATTTGGAGCTGCTGAAGAAGGTCATTTGCAAATGGAAAACATTAAATGGAGCAGGGAAGCGCTGAGAGCTCTTCTCACAAGAGCATCCAGGGAAAGCAGCACACCAATATTTATGCAAGAGCAAATGCAAAAAAATTCCATGCAAGAAGGTGCACAAACTTAGAGGAAGATTTGGGAGCGCCAGGGAAAAACGCAGCAAAGAAGCCACATACAGTAACTGCTGTATGGCCCTTTGCCAGAACGGGCAGGAAGCATTAAATGGCTTTGGATCAGCATCTCAAGCCATTGAGGTACCAGTGATACAGGACAGTAATTCGGTGTAAAACAGATAATAAAATACCACGCAAAGGTTGGCAAAAAGAGGCGGGAGGTGAGTGCCAAAGAGGAGCAGGTGACGGGGGATGAGCTGGGGGGAACTCCCAGGACACCCTCAGCATCAAGTCAGAAGGGAAAGTAAAACTACACCTAAGTGAGTTCAAACCAAAATGAGATGCCACTGTGACCACAACATGAGCCACACCAAGGAGAGCAAAGAGGAAGCTGAAATGAAGATATTGTCACCTACGCAGAGGCTGGGCTTTCTTCTGGAAGGCAACCAGCCTACTCTGAGGTCCGTGACGGCCAGTTCCCACAGCTGACTCACGAGCAAACCAAACCCCCTGCTCACCCAGCGCAGCCGTTTGCTGTGGGTTTCCAGCAGCAGAAAATGGAAGCGATGCTGGCAGGACAAGGCTATGCTCCAGGCAAGCAGCGCCTGCACAGCACCCAAGCAAGCCCTCGGGATGCTGCGCGCGTGGGGCAGCACAGCGGGGACCCCCAACCAGCCAGGCAGGCCATGGGGTGGGTGGCAGAAGGGTGGCTCCCAAATGTGCCTCATCAGAGGATGCCTCGAACTTCTCCAAACCCTCCAGATACGCTGATGTGCAGTTTCATGGCCATGGGACTGCTTTCCAGCTGGTCTGGCTGGTTTTACCAGGGAATTTGCTGGGCTGTCAGAGCTCCTATCCCTGAGTATCAGCCATTTGTCTGAGATGCCTTTGCTTTGTTTGGACCTTACAGATGGCAATCTGAAGCCATCCCCTCGGGCACACTTCACATCTCCTAATTTCCCCACTGATGGTCCTGCTGGGCCCTTCGGAGGCACAGGCTGTGCTCCGCTTGACTGAACCACCCACAACCTCCTAGCGCAGGGCACAGTGCACAGTGTCTGTCTGGGTGTCCTTCCTCCGCTCCCAGAGTCAACCAGGCAAAAGGAAAATGGTTCTTGGTAGGATTTCAGCTGACGCTACCGGAGGAGAAGCTGTCTGGCTACCCACAGCCTGAATGAATCCCAGCAAGCACACAGAGATGTTTCAGAAAGTCACCTGAGGCCCAGCTGGTTGCAGAAAGGCATCAGCCTGCCCTGCCAGACCAACTCATGAGACACAACAGGATCTTGTCACCGTCAGCGGCATCCAGAGGTACCGATCCAGAGCTCAATCCTGCAGGAGTCATGGCCAAAATCTCTTTTCTGTTAGGGAAGGGAAATAAGCTCATATACAACATGATGTAACTGAACCCAAGACCATCTGTAAAACCCTGCTAGCTGCTAAGGGCTAATGCACTGACCTATACAAGGTCAGACAGCTGATGTCCATGCCCCAGTAAACCAGTTCATAAACTGTTCCCTGAACAAAACAACGCTCCATGCTTCACAGGTGTGCAGGAACATCTTCAGCATCTGCTTGAAGAGGGCAATAAGGAGTGGGTTATCAAAACCTGAGGCAACTGTTGTGGTGCTGAGGAACATACCACCCCATCTCTAAAAAACTCCAATGTGAAGGGGGAATCAGCCCTGCAACAGGCTGTCTGCAAAACAGGACTCCAGCATCACCCACAGAGAGCACTGCCCAAGAGCATGCCACCAGAGAAACCACCCTGCTCCTGAACAGAAGAAACATGGAAAATAATCCAACAGGAGAAATGCAGACAACAATCCAGGGCTACTAACCCCATGCCCTGCACAGCATTAAAACTGCAATAGTGCAACACCAAGTTTTCACTGCAGGTAAGGGCTATAAACCCAGAAAAAGGACCGTGCAGTTCAGCCCGCGTGTCCACCTCCCTAACAGCAGCCAACAGCACTGACGTGCCACGAGCAGGCGAGAACAAGGCAAGCATACGGTGACACTTCAGCCACGTTTCCAGCCAGGTTCAGGCAGCTCACGCGCAGATCAGGATCCAGAGCTTGCACCGTTTTTGAGGGACGGCGCGGTGCTGACAGCGCTGTTATTAGCACTGCATTCACCTCTCCGCTTGCTGCTGAGCCCCAGGCTCCCATTTTAATTGAATGCTCTGCTGAGACTCCAAAAATCTTTTCCAAGTGGTAATGTGGTAAGTATAGAAGTATTTAGTACATTGTAGGTATAATTAGTGTCTTTCCCCTGAGCATTAGCTTGTGTTTATTGAAACTGTGTCATTTTATCACCTGGCCACCCAGGTCCATCATATCCAGGTGCAACATTTCACAGTCGGCATCTGTTCTGCTGCTGTGAATAATTCTGTATTGCCTGCCTAGAAATCTGGCAGGTGTCTGAGCACTGAGCCATGCCCAGTGACACGGGCAGCTCCCAGACATACCAGTCTGCAACCCAAGCCGGTCCCAGCTCACGATGCCAGCTGGAGGCCTCTCCGTGTGGATCACTGAGCACAGACACACTCATGACACCATTCTCAGGGTCCCCTCAGCCATCACTCACGTGCTGTGGAAGGGGCCCTGGTGCATGTGGACACCAGCTACCCCTGTGGCCTCTCCTGGCTCCTCCGGAGCCCCCGGCTGCGCCCTCACCACTCTATGGGCATTGTCCTGACCCCAGTTGCCCCTTGCCTGCTGACCCTGGCCAAGTCAGCCCTGGGTGCCACCAGAGAGAGAAGGGGGAGAGGGGGCTGCTTCTCGTCCCCCTCCCACTTGCCCACCCCCAGCCCCCACCCCTGGCCCTTTGCTGTCTCCTCCAGCCCACAGCCGGACTCTCCTGAGTCTCCAGACGCAGCACCCATTAGAAATGGGAAGTGGAGCTGTTCAAAGATGTTCACTCTCTCAGTGCTTTGGAGCACCCAATGGTCTCCTGCAGCGACTGGGAATGACACCTTTTCTCCCAGGCCTATCACTTCTGGAGCATTTTGCCATGCTTGGAAGCCCCTGCGATGCCTCCAGGGAAGGGAGGGAAGGGGTTGGGCAGTGCTGGTGTCCCCTGGTGCCACAGCAGCTCCAGCAGGCTGGGCAGCAGGTCTTGCTCCCATGCTCAGGGAACAGTCAATAGCCAGTTCTGGTGTCAAGGAGCTTTTTCCCCTGGTCAGATTGTCACAAGTACTCGGGGGTTTTTTGCATCCCTCTGCAGCATTGAGCAAGGCCCCTTGCCAGGGCTCCTGGGGCCATTTCTGGCGAAGGATTCCCTGCTGTTGCAGGCCCAGGAGTCCAGCTGTGTCTGTGACCTCTTCACCCCTCTTCTCTGTGGCAGCTTTGTTTTTCTATTTTCTGTCATTTGTAGCACAGGTCTTCTCAGGTAA